ATCAAAATTTCAAATATTTGTCTCCATCAAAATTCGATCTTCATTAAATTTTTGAAAATTTTATAAATCCACGAAAATTTTTGTGAAAATCCGCGAATTATTTTTGTTTTGTTTTACGATGTACACAAAGAGAACATGTTCACAATTAATTTAAAAGATGGGCGCGAAGCGCCCTATAAGGCAGGCTTTTTTATATTTTAGCTAAGATTTAAAATTTTAATATTTTACCTGAGCTTTCTGAGAGTCCTGAGGTGTTGGAATGGTTTCTGAACACATTGTTTAATCATATTAAATTTGTTTGCAGAATCTGTGGAAATGAAATATTTGATCGTTTTTAAACAAATCCCAAAACCCTACTCTCTCTCACTAAAATTAAATAATTTTCTTCTCAATATCAAGAAGAATTAAAAAAGAGACAATTTTGGAAGAATATTGTACATGCAAAAAACGTTAAATTGAGCAAACCCTGAATGGGTATAACAACTGCGATGTGGGAAACTTTTGCAGTGGAGCTCTGGGCGTTCACAGTTTAAAATCTTGGCAATCTTCATCTTAGGAATTTATATCCAATTTTTTCGAATACAGAATGCAATATTTAAAAGCTCTTTTTCTCTACACTAATTATAGATATTTTTATGTTCATTAATAGTTAATTAAAATTCACATCTGCTAATTTGATATTATAAACAATTGCCTTGAATGACCGCTGACCGGTGACATGATGGTTCCATGGAACTGCCCGGGAACTGGGCCCCCAGCATAGGATGGACCACCTTGACTAGCCCCGGAGTAGGTGGACCCAGCTATACTGGTCCCAGAATAGGAGGAACCTGTCAAACTGGTCCCTGGGTATATAGATCCACTGGTGCCCGGATAGGGAGGGGGTGGGGGCACATTCACATAATCCTGTATTTTTCATTTATTAGTTGAAATTATTAAAAATAACAACAAAATTCAAATTTTTAAATATTGTTTATAAAAAAAATCAAAAGTGGAATTAGTTATTTCAGGCATTTTTTTATCTTCTTTATAGAACTTTTTTACTAAAAACTGATTTTCCCTCTAACCCCACATTCAGCAATAACAAAAACTTCTTTTCATGTAAAACTTATCTATCTACCTATTTAAAGCAGTAATCTCTATTTGTTTGATTGTTCGTTTGTTTATATGTTTAATCAAAAGTCAGGTACCCCTGGACCGATTTGACTCACAAATAATATTAGTTTGGTTTAAAAATCTAGGTTAAGTGGGTTGACCTTCAGTTTCTAGGCAAAGCTTATTCCCCAAGCTAATCTATATAAAGTTGTAATCTCTATTTGTTTATTTGTAATTTATTTGTAACCCAGGAACCCTTTGAAATATTTGCCTCAAATTTTTATTTTGGGACTCGGGAGACCCACGGGAATGTTTTTTAGCTTGTTTTTGAGATTCTAAATAGAGTGGGTCCATTTTGAACAGAAAAAAACAGAATAAAAGGATGAATGAATGAATCAAATCAATTATTATATATTTCGTAATTTATTAAATACCTGATATTAATATTTTCATATGTGTTCTCATATACAGGCGGAGCTACGTAGGGGGGCTGTACTTCGCCTTTCTGGAGATAGGCCTGGAACAAATGAGATTTCTTGAGATCAGAGAATAGGTCGGAGATCAAGTATCAGAGATTAAAGGTCGAAGCTCATGTATTAGAGGTTAAAGTTCGGAGATCATGTATCGGAGATTAAAGGTCGGAGATCAAGTATCAGAGATTAAAGGTCGGAGATCATGTTTCAGAGATTAAAGGTCGGAGCTCATGTATTAGAGGTTAAAGTTTGGAGATCATGTATCAGAGATTAAAGGTCGGAGATCAAGTATCAGACAGAGAAATTGGTAAAACTCTCTGATCTCTCAAGTTTCAGAGACAAAAATAATTTCGTAACAAACGAAAATAAATACGGGGTATATTTGTATTGCATTAAGAAAAATTTCAGCCACCACCCCCCAAAAAGAAAATTGAAGCAAAATAAAAAATTTGGAAATATTTCTTCCTCTTTGATGCCAGTTACCCAAAAATTCGTTCAAGTTAATATCTTCTTAACGTTACTCAAGGTTTTAATGCAAGGAAAGTAAATTGGAAGATGGATGCCATGTCAGACTTTTATTTATTTATTTTATTGACTTAAATCAATCTTCAATCAGAAAAACAAGAATATAACGAAGCTTTAACGGGTACCATCGTGAATCGGTCAAGCCCCTCTTAAAATGGAGAAACTCAAATTTATTTTTTGTAGACTTAGAATTACCTGTTTTAATAATTCTTGATTAAGACTTCCTCCAGAATTTTGCCGAGGTAGGTATGCCTATGTAGATATTAAAAAAATTAATTCTACTTTTTAAAGGTTGAAAATTTTCAATAAAACTATTTTTATAAAATTATTGTAAACTTTTTAATGCAAGCATTGCTTAGTTTCTTTACAGCATTGTTAAAAAATATTCTCAGTGCTATAATGTTAATTCGAGTTCAACGTAACATAGCCTGCAGGAAATGATATTTGATTAGGTTTAATGATAATAATAACAATAATAATAATAATAAGAAGAAGAAAAAACTGTGCCATAAAAGATTAAAAGGTTTCCGAATTTTTTACTGAAAATTTAGGAAATTATCAAAATGAGTTTTTAATTCTTATAGAAATACGATTAAGAAAATTAAAATTTGATTTCTTTGAAGTGAAGGCTTAAATAATTATTATTACTATTAAAAACACCATTATATCAAGGCAAGTACACAAATATATGCAACAAAATCATTTTGACACGACGTTTTAAACTAAAGTTTTCTCAGTTTTTAGAAAGTTCTTTTTTGTTTTCAGCTTTAGCATAAACCAATGAACCTTGACTGAAATAATGTTGAACGACGGCAAACAAACAAAAAATATAAAAATAGTCAATTATTTCCCTACCTTACTAATAACTGTCTGCTGGTTATTTGATGAATTCTGCCTGGTTAACAGTGACGATGTCATCGGCTGCTGTCCTGCTGTTACAAACTGCTGTCCAGCTGTTGTTTTAATCATTGTCTGTTGTTGCATGTTGCCAATTGAGCTTCGTCGAACACTCTGATTTTCCTAATAAAATATTTGTTTTAAAAAGGTTTCTAATCTGATGCCGCATGCAGGATGAAGGTATCCATTAAGTGACCAAAATAACAAATTGTTAAAAGTAATAATCGCAATTTACCAACAATGTTGATCTTCAAAAATCTTTCCCCTCACTCCAATGCAGGGGAGAATTCTTAAAAATATACACCCCTCACACGCCCGATAGCGATTTTGGCTTCGTAGTTTCAACCATTTTTCTAATTAGCATATTTACGCGTATAAAACCGACAGGAAAATGAGTTAAAAATACAATCAAATCAAACTCGGCCCCAATCCGAATTGCCAAGTAAAATTCAGCTGGACCGGAAAATCTAAATTGCGATTGTAAACAAGTAAGCGATTGGAATTAGTTAATTTTAAATATTTCTTGGCCCCTTTTGAACTATTCTTGACATCGAGTTATAATGAAATAGAAAACAATCAATGGTGGTCATTTTAGTGGATCGACTTTTTTAATAAAAAATCGAGAACCGGGGAAAATTCTCAATGACGATAATATA